CCTAGTTTGAATGCCAGCTTGGACATCTGCTAGCTACCTGACTTTGGGCAAGTCACTGGTTAACCTCCCTGTGCTTCACTTTCTCTTTCTACAAAAAGGGGATAGCAATAACCTTATGGGGTTACTATCAATTAACACTTGGAAAGCACTTAGCACGGTGCCCAGTACACAGTTAATAATAAATTTATAAATTCCCAGTTTTCCAAAGGCCATCTTTGCCATGAAGTTTTTGAACTGTTTCCCACCATACAAGCATCTAGCCTTCCTTCTGCTTTGCCATTTGTGAGAGCCTGTACCAAAGCACAGAAATGACTTCAGTGCCTTGGATGTCCTATCATTGCAATATGACTTTGTCCTAGTACACATGAAGTTTTCAGAGTTTGATCTAATCTAGGGTCAGGGACACAGTGGCCACTATTGGATTTAGGCTGTGTTAGTTTTAGGTGGATAATTAACCTTAGGAGGAATGATCACCTCTGGACTTTATTTGGTTTTTGTCTACAGGCCTGCCAAGGAGATTGCTCAACTCATGTTTGAGGTATTTGTGTGCATTTACTGATCTAGCTGATAATTTTTTGAGCCCAATATTATATCAGACACTATTTTCCAACCTAGGATTAGAATGTTGGACGAGAAAAAAGTGATCTCCATCCTCATAGACCCTATTTCCTTTCAAAGGTGTGAATAAGCAAAGGGAGAGCCAGGACATTTAAAGATGAGCCACTCTGCACAAGGCCAAGGGACATCTGGCTTCGCCTGAGCAGAGGGCCACTGCTGGCTTACTGAGAAACCGAGCTGATGGCAGTCTCGGGGCTGGAAAAACAGAAGTGGAGGCAAGATCCCAGTGAGAAGGGAGAAGCAGAGTACTAAGTTTGACAAAGGGCCAGTTTTCTCCTTAACATACTGGGCACAATTGGAAGTTCCATGGAATGGGAAAGAAAAAGATAATACTGGCCAGGTGTGGTGTCTCAAGCCTGTAATCCCAGCACTTCGGGAGGCAGAGGCAGGCAGATCACAAGGTCAGGAGATCGAGACCATCCTGGCCAATGTGGTGAAGCCCCCATCTTTACTAAAAATACAAAAAAATTAGCCAGGCATGGTGGTAGGAGCCTGTAGTCCTAGCTACTCAGGAAACTGAGGCTGGAGAATCGCTTGAACCTGGGAGTCGGAGGTTGCAGTGAGTCGAGATCATACCACTGCACTCCAGCCTGACAACAGAGCAAGACTCCATCTCAAAATAATAATAATAATAAAATAAAGATAAAGATAATGCCACACCTTGAAGAGGCTTCAATAAATATATCAAGTATATGAGCTTCCTGTTACAGCTGTAACTAAACTTAATGTCTCACAGGTTTGAAGGTCAGAAGTCTGAAATGGGTCTGACCGGGCTTAAATCAAGATGTCAGCAGGGCTGAGTTCTTTCTGGAGGCTCTGCTTCTGCATTTAAAGAACCCTTGTGATGATATTGGCCACCTGGATAATCAAGAAATACATTTCTAAATACACCATGAGTTGAACAAGAAATTACAATAAAATTGGAATATATTTTGAACTGAATAACCATGAAGTTATGATATATAAAGAAAAGGAAGCTTATAGGGAAATTTATAGCATTCATCACATATACTAGAGAAGAAGAGAGGCTGAAAAATCGATGATCTTAACTGCCTTTAAAAAAAAAAAAAAACAAAACAAAAGCAAGAGAAGCCAGACACAGTGGCTCATATCTGTAATCCCAACACTTTGGGAAGCCGAAGTGGGCAGATCTCTTGAGGCTAGGTGTTCAAGACCAGCCTGGACAACATGGTAAAATCCCATCTCACCTAAAACAAATAAACAAAAAACAATTAGCTGGGTGCTATGGCTCATGCTTGTAATCCCAGTTACTCAGGAAGCTAAGGCAGGAGAATAACTTGAACCCGGGAGGTAGAGGTTGCAGAGGGCTGCAATCTAGGCAATAGAGTGAGAGTCTGAAAAAGAAAGAAAGAGAGAAAGAGAGAGAGAGAAAGAGAGACAGAGAGAGAGAGAGAGACAGAGAGAGAGAGAGAGAGAGAGAGAGAGAGAGAGAGAGAGAAAGTCAACAGAGCAGAAATCAATGAAATGATAAATTAATGTCCAATAGAGAAAATCAGCAAAGCCAAGGTTGATTCTCTGAGAAGATTAACGATATATGTAAAATCCTGGCAATACTAATCAAGGAAAAGTAGTAACATAGTAAACATAAATCACCAATATCAACAATAAAGAGGGAGATCCTCCACATACTAAAAATGTCAAAGGGTAAGGTTGTGAATGGTTTTATATCAATAAATTTAAAATTTTGATAAAATGGACACATTTCTTAAAAAAACAAAACTCACCAACATTGAAGCTTGAAGAATCATAGAATCTGGATATTTCTCTAGCTCAATCTGTTATCAAAAACTTTTCCACAAGTAAAACTCTAAACACAGATGGCTTAACTGGTGAAGCCTTCCAAACATTTAAGAAAGAAAGAACGCTATTCTTACACAGTATCTTCCAGAGAATAAGAAAAGAAGTAGCATATTTCAATTCATTTTATGAGCCATTATAACCTTGAAACCACACTTTTATGGACATTAAGATAAAGAAAACTGCAGAATGATTTATCTCATCAACACAAATGCAAAAAATCCTAAAAAAAAGTAATCAAGATCAGCAATATGTAAAAAATGTTATACATAATAGCCAGGCGGGATTTATTCCAGGAATGTAAGAGTAGTTTAACCTTTAAAAATCAATTAAAGGAGCCCAGCATGGTGGTGCACACCTGCAGCTCCAGCTACTTGGGAGGCTGAGGAGGGAGGATTGCTTGAGCCTAGGAGGTGGAGCCTTCAGTGAACTACGATCCCACAACTGTACTCCAGCCTGGGCAATAGAGCCAGACTCCATTAAGCAAGAAGAAAGAGAGAAAGAAAGAAAGAGAGAGAGAGAGAGAGAGAGAGAGAAAAGAAAGAGGCAAGGAGGGAGGGAGGAAGGGAGGGAGAAAGGGAGGGAGGGAAGAAGAGAGGGAGGAAGGAAGGAAAACAGAAAAAGGAAAGAAAGAGAATTAGCGAAGTTCACCACATTAGCATAAAAAGAAAAGCGAATCATATGATTACCTTAGGTGTAGAAAAAATACTTGACAAAATGCAACATCCATTCATGATTTTTTTAAAAAAATTAGACAACCCAGGAAAGAAGGAAAGATGCTTGATATGCTTAATAATATTTAAAACAAACCGGGCGCGGTGGCTCAAGCCTGTAATCCCAGCACTTTGGGAGGCTGAGGCAGGCGGATCACGAGGTCGAGAGATCGAGACCATCCTGGTCAACATGGTGAAACCCCGTCTCTACTAAAAATACAAAAAATTAGCTGGGCATGGTGGCACGTGCCTGTAATCCCAGCTACTCAGGAGGCTGAGGCAGGAGAATTGCCTGAACCCAGGAGGCGGAGGTTGCGGTGAGCCGAGATCGCGCCATTGCACTCCAGCCTGGGTAACAAGAGCAAAACTCCGTCTCAAAGTAATAATAATAATAATAATAATAATAATAATATTTAAAACAAAACAAAACACCAGCAAAATGTTTGCATAATGGAGAAGAATTAAAAACTTTCCCTATCACCACTTCTACTCAATATTGTATTAACAGTTTGGCAGTATCTGTTGAAGCTGAACATACATCTGCTTCATGATATATGGGGAAACCCTGCAGTAATGCATACCTAAGTGCACTAAAAGACATGTAGTAGAATGTAATGTAAGTTCTAGCCAGTGCAGTAAGTCAAGAGAAAAAAGACTCCTAAGGATCTGAAAGGAAAAAGCAAAACTGACATCATTCATATAAGACCTAAGGATGTAAATAGAAAAGAAGCAATTCCAACTAATAAGACAATTCAGCAATATCACTGGATTCAAGGTCAATATACAAAAACCAATTGTTTTTTTCCCCCAGATACCAGCAACAGATAGAAAATGAAATTAAAATTATATTCACAGCAGCAGTATCCATTAAGAGCCCAAACTGAAGATTACAGACATCAGGAGGAAAGACAAAATGTGCTGCATACACAGTGTCGAATACGCAACACCGAGAATGAATACAGAGCAGCTATACACAGCATAGGTGAATCTCACAGCCTCTCCAGTAAAAGAAGCCAAACCCAAAATTGTACGCATGGTATGATTCCATCTGTATAAAGCTCACAAATCAGCAGAATTAGTCAATGTGTTAGAAGTCAAGAAAATGGGTACCTTTGTGGGAGGGAGAATGGGAAGTGAGTGAAAGAGGCCGCCCTGGGCTGTGCCAGCTCTGTTAATGTTCTGTTTCTTGATGGGGGTGCTGGTTATGTGGGTGTGTTCATTTGATGATAATTAAGCTGTACATTTATTTAGCACATGTGATATTTTATGTACATTTATTATACTTTAAAAGTTCTTAAAATTTCATTTAAATTCAGATTTTCTCCAGGCAGAAGTCACAGACCTGAGTAGGTAAGGAGAGGTAGCCCTCTCCGGGGCTTCACCTGACCCCGGCCTTCCAGAACAAAGGGCTGCTGAGGACAGTGTCATTTGGGTGGAGTTTCCGAGAGGACACAGGAGTGGTCCGTTCTCCCGATGGAAACCCTTTGGGAGAAAGAGTCTGAGAATCCCTGACAATTGTGTTCAAAATGTTGTGTATGTGTACGCGTGCTTTCCAGGGGGAAGGGCCCACAGTTTCCACCCTATGGACTGCCCGGGAATCCCGAGGATTTTGTGTTTTTGAGATGTTTAGGAACTGCTGGGCTAGATGAGGGTCCGGGGGTCAGAAACCTGTGTCCTGGCAACTCACCTGGGACCCCCGGCAGATCTGTCTCTGGGTTGTAAGGTGGCCAGACCAGCGCGCTCCGAAGCTGCTCAGGCTCTGGGGTGCGGCTCCCTCGCCCGAGGTGGGTAGGCTCTGGGCAGGGGACTGGAGAGGGGCTGGCATCTTGCAGCCCTTCCGTCCCGCGGAGGGCACGGGCTGCTCCCTGGCTACCCCGGGGGAGGAGTGGGAGGAGTGGCGAGGGCTATCAGCTCTGGCGGGCGAACCTTTCCCAGGAGGCGCTGCTTGCTCCAGCGAGGTAAAGCCGGAGGAGGCGGGAGAGCGGGGCTGGTGACGCGCGCCGGCCGCGGAGAATGAGGCTGGCCCTCTGCGCCCTGCCGTGCGCTGGAGCCCTGGGTGAGTGGGCGCCGGGAGCGGAGGTGGGGGCTGGCCCTGCAGGGTGCACCGGGGAGGCACTGGGTTCCAGCAGCCGGTCTGTCACAGCGGGACCCTGCGCGACGACCGGACAAGCGGGTCTGCGGGGCTGCGATGAGCCCCTGAAAGTGCTTTCTCCACGAGGGCGCACCTGACACGTTGGTCCTCGCAGAAACTCCATTGACTAGGGAAGAGGGTTGTAGACTGTGACTAGCTGGCCAAATCCTGTCGGTGGCTTGGTGTTGTATACAGCTGGATAAGCCAAGAATGCTTTCACATCTTTAGATGGTTGAAGGGGACAGGCTGGGCAGGGTGGCTCAGGCCTGTAATCCCAACACTTTGGGAGGCCGAGGCGGTGTATCACTTCAGGTCAAGAGTTCCAGACCAGCCTGGCCAACGTGGTGAAACCTCACTGAAAATACAAAAATTAGCCGGGTGTGGTGGCCTGCGACTGTAATCCCAGCTACTCGGGAGGCTGAGGCATGAGAATCGCTTGAACCAGGGAGGCGGAGGTTACAGTGGGCCGAGATCAGGCCACTGCACTCCAGCCTAGGCAACAGAATGAGACTGTCAAAAAAGTTGAAGGGGAAATCAAAAGAGCAATACTATGTGACATGAAAATAACAAAATTCAAATTTCAGTGTACATAAATAAAATTTTATTAGAGTGCAGTCATGCTCACTCAGTTAAATATCATCTCTGGCAGCTTTCAGGCTTGTCCAAGTCAAATATCTCTAAGTTTAAAACATTTTATTTGGGAATAAGAATTGAAATTCCGGGCATACACACAGACTGGATGGTCCTCCATATGTCCAAAGAACAAAGAGAAGATTGGAGGTTCCATAGAAAAGGAGAAATGTTCTTCTAGAAAGTTCATTGGCACAAGTAAAGTTTTGGGGACCTGGCAAGTCCTGATTGTTGAGGGACTGTAACAGGTAAAACGAGGTTTCAGTGGCTGCTAACTAAAACTGCTCTTAGGTTACAACAGGCAGTTTCAGCAGCCAGGCTTGCTGAGAATTTCACGTGTGGAGCAATGTTATGTGTCCCCAGTGCTTTCTTCCCCCTGACTTCTCACTCTGTTTTAGTTGGTTATGACAAAAATGACCCAATTCTGCATGATCAGCTTTCACAGGCTTCACGGTCAGAGTTGAGTAGTTGTGACAGAGATTGTGTGCTATTTACTCTTTAGCCCATAACAGAATAAGTTCGTGACCCCTGGCCTAGAGGTTACTGATCCTCTTTACAGTGAAGGAAATGGGGTTAGAGGAGAGAAGGGATTTTTCCCCCCTTGGCTTAAGGGTTATTATGAAGTGTAGGGAAGGAGCAGGTGGGACACGTGTCAGGTGTGCCTAACATCTAACCAGAGGGGTCTTTCTTGCCCCAAACTGGATAGTGCTTCTAGTACTTTTACCATACAACAGAGAGGTAGAGAGATACAGGGAAAAATGAGATCCACCTGTCACTCACTGCTGTGTGACTCTGAGCTGTCCCTTGACATCTCTGAGCTGGTTTCATTCACTAGTAATTGCCTTTTCACAACAAACACACAAGTGCTGTGAAAATGAGATACTGTGTCTAGTGGCAGGCAGAGCTCTAGGCACAGGTGAGTTACACTGGTAAAAATCCTGCACATAAATGCAGGGGGTCCCTTCCTGTTTTGTGAGGGTGGGCTCCTCCAGGGCTCTTGGCTGGGTCATTTGAGGAAGGGAGTGATTGGAAGTCAATCAACTCATGCATGTGAAGAGCCCTCCCTGACTTAGCAACTGTTGGTTCTGTCCAGCCCTGGTTCTGCCATGTCTGAGGCTGCTGTAAATAATTTCTGGGGTAGGATTTCTTACGTGCAGTGAGGGGTAACTTTGGCAAGGGCTGAGCAAGAAGATGGAAGGAAGGGAAGTACTGTGGTGGCCCCTCCCGGGCTCAGCACGGCCATGTGGGGCCACACAGAGAGCTCAGCTGGGGCTAGGGTAGGCTGGAAGGTAGAGCACAGATGTGGTTCAATGGCATTCACAAGGAAACTCAGAGGGCAGCCCGTCTGGGATTGTTTCCAAATTCTTCCGGAACGGTGCTGCTTGTTCTTCCTCTGTCTCTTGTCCTGGCAATGTCAGGCTCTGATCAAAAGTTCATTTTCCCAATTCACGTTTACAAATCAGAGACAAGAGCTGCCCTACCAAAAATTCGTTTTCCCAATTCATCCTGTGTTTACAAACCAGAGACAAGAGCTGCCCATTTTGGCCTCTGCTCTCACCTTCCCTCCTTCTAGGCTGCTGCGCCAGGCCAGAGTCTGGGATATGCTTTCTTCAAAGCTCAGCGTTCTAGTTATACAAGAGCTATTCTGGTGGCAAATGACAGAAAACACGACCAAAGTAGCTTAGATAAAAAAGACCAAAGGGAAGGGGACAGTTATTGGTATGCCCTGCAAGAGCCAGTAGCCAAGGGCTCAGACAGTCTCTATCTCCACCTTGGCCTCCACCTCCTTTCTCAGCTTTTTGCCCTTCTTAAGAACTTTCTCTTTTCAGCAGGCACACACAACTTTCCTCTTTTGGGAACAGTCTGAAATATTCATGGTGGGCTCTGATTACTCCTACTTTAAATTGTCATATGGTCAGTGCTTTCAGTGAGTGATCTAGTCTAGGTTACTTGACTCTGTCTACCCTTAGCTTGCTTACACATACTTTCTCTTTTAAAAATCTTTTTTTTTTTCTTTTTATTGAGACAGCGTCTCTCTCTGTCACCCAGGCTGGAGTGCAGTGGTGTGAGCATAGCTCACTGCAACTTCAAACTCTTAGGCTCAAGCAATCCTCCCATCTCATCCTCCTGAGTAGCTGCAACTACAGGTGTGCATCACCATGACCAGCTAATTTTTTTTAATTTTCTTTTTTTTTTTGTTATTATACTTTAAGTTCTGGGGTACATGTGCAGGACATGCAGGTTTGTTACATAGGTATACACATGCCATGGTGGTTTGCTGCACCCGTCAACCCATCATCTATCTTAGGTATTTCTCCTAATGCTATCTGTCCCTTAGCCTCCACTCCCCAACAGGCCCTGGTGTGTGATGTTCCCTTCCCTGTGTTGATGTGTTCTCATTGTTCAACTCACACTTACGAGCGAGAACATGCAGTGTTTGGTTTTCTGTTCCTGTGTTAGTTTGCTAAGAATGGTGGTTTCCAGCTTCATTCATGTCCCTGCAAAGGACATTAACTCATCCTTTCTTATGGCTGCATAGTATTCCGTGGTGTATATGTGCCACATATTCTTCATCCAATCTATCATTGATGGGCATTTGGGTTGGCTCTAAGTCTTTGCTATTGTGAATAGTGCTGCAGTAATCATATGTGTGCATGTGTCTTCATAATAGAATGATTTATAATCATTTGGGTATATACCCAGTAATGGGATTGCTGGGTCAAATGGTATTTCTGGTTCTAAATCCTTGAGGAATTGCTACACTGTCTTCCACAATGGTTGAACTAATTTACACTCCCACCAACAGTGTAAAAGCATTCCTATTTCTCCACATTTTCTCCAGCATCTATTGTTTCCTGTATTTTTTAATGATCATCATTCTAACTGGCATGAGATGGTATCTCATTGTGGTTTTGATTAACATTTCTGTATTAAACAGTGGTGATGAGCTTTTTTTCATATGTTTGTTGGCCACATAAATGTCTTTTGAGAAGTGTCTATTCATATCCTTCATCCACTTTTTGATGGGATTGTTTGTTTTGTTCTTGTAAATTTGTTTAAGTTCCTTGTAGATTCTGGATATTAGCCCTTTGTCAGCTGGGTAGATTGCAAAAATTTTCTCCCTTTCTGTAGGTTGCCTGTTCACTCTGATGACAGTTTCTTTTGGCCCAGCTAATTTTTAATTTTTAAAAAGTTTTTGTAGAGATGGAGTCTCACCATCTTGCCAGGCTATAGTCTTGAAATCCTGGGCTCAAGTGATTCTTCTGCCTCAGCCTCCCAAAGTTTTGGGATTACAGGTGTTAACCACTGCACCTGGCCTTTAAAATCATTTTTATTGAAGTATGATTTACCTATAATATAATAACATGCACTCAGTTAAAGTATATATACAGTCCAGTGAATCTTGGCAAATATAATGATTCATGTAGTTATCACCAAGATAAACGACATTTTCATCACCCTCAAGATACCCCATTCCTCCTCCCAGTCATTCCTACTTTCTGCCACTATAGATCAGTTTTGTCTTTTCTAGGATATCACATAAGTGGAATCATACAGTATATTGTACTTTGTTTGGCTTTTTTTTTTTTTTTAACTCAGCATAATTGTTTTGAGAGTCATTCATGTTCTTGTGTGTGTCATGGTTCATTCCTTTTTATTATTGAGTAGTACTCTAATGAATGGCTTTACCACAGCTTATTTACCCATTCACTTGTTGATCGACATTTAGATTGTCTCCCACTTAGGGCTATTATGAATAAAGTTGCCATAAACATTAGTGGACAAGTCTTTGGGGAAATTCTAAATATCTAGAATTACTGGGGCATACTGGTAAGTATATGTTCAATTTAACTTTGAATAGCTGTGCCATTTTACATTCCCACCAGCGATGTATAAGAGCTTCAGCTGCTCCATGTCCTGCCGATGCTCGGTGGTGTCAGTCTTCAGAGTTAGTCATTCTAATAGGTATGCGTTCTAATAGGTATGTAGTGAAATTGATCTCCATGTGGTTTTAATTTGCATTTCTCTGGGGACTCAAGATGTGAAGATCTTTTCATGTTCTTATTGGCCATTCCTATATCCATATATAGTCTTTTATGATGTTTCTATTTGAACTTTTTCTCCATTTTTTTTTTCAATTGATGGGAGGCTTCCTGGCTTTTACTCACACTCTTCCCCTTTCCTTCCTTCCTTCTTTCCTTCCTTCCTTTTCTTTTGTTCTTTCATTCTTTCTTTTTTTGGAGATATGTTCTCACTCTGTTGCCCAGACTGGAGTGCAGTGGTGCAATCGTGGC